TGCACCAGTGCTGATTATGAAAGGTCTTGAGGCTAGGAATTTGACCTCTGCATATGCATTCATTCTCTCTCTCTCTCTCTCTCTCTCTCTCTCTGTCTCCCACCATGCAATGCCTTCCACCATGTTATGCTGTAGCAAATAAGGTACTCACCAGATGCAGACCCTGCATCCTGGACTTCCCAGCCTCCAAAACTGGGGGCCAAACACACTTCTACGGTTTGGTTCATAAATTATCCGGTCAGAGGTATTCTGTCACCAGTGCACAAAACGCACTAAGACAAAGGCTCTGTCAGTGCGGTAGACACGGGAGCCACCAAAAATGGGGCAGGGGCAAAGAAGAAGGAGAAAGCCACCTGGACTTGGCCGTCCTGCTAATGACAAAGCAGACAAAGCCCCCCAGGGGTCACCAAGTTCCACCTGTATGCAACAGGAGCACCCCCTGGGCATTCTTGGTGTCTGAGCAAAGGCCTCCTGGGAATTAGCTTTTGAGAAAGGGCTGATGGGGGGAAGAGCACAAAACAAAAGACCCAATCGGGGAATGCACAGACTGTGGCCTGACGAGGGCGGGGTCATCCAAGGCAAGAGCAAAGAACTCGGGAGTCTCTCCCGGCCCAGCGACGGGGACGTCTGGGCGTCCGAGAGTGGAGAAAAGGCTCTGCTCTGGACTTTGCCAGCCCTGCCCTCTCCCTGGCACTGTTTTGGGAGTGCGGGTTCTCTTTCAGCCCAACTCCACTGTGCTCACCGAGTGGCTCGTCGGGCCTCGGGAGCAGGAAGGGTCCTGGGCAGCCTCAGAGAGGCTGGGTGTACAGCACACACTCCCCCTGCACTGCTCCGTGTGGACCCAGGGTCAGTGGGAACCCGGGCTGAGGGAAGCCCCACAGGATTGCTCCAGCACTCCCGCTACACTACTATCGGTTTCCCCTTCTCCCAGGGGCCTTGTGTGCAATCTCGACCACCCCCACAAGGCCTCTAGCTCGGTTTTCCTTCCAGGGTGGCCCCGAGCGGGAGGCCCTGAGCAACGACGTCTCCAGTGCAGTGCTCGGCTGGGGCAAGGTGCACACACAGTCCTGGAACCCCAGGCCGACACTGCAAGGGGAAGGACTCCGGCAGCTGCCAATGCCTCGCTCCAGATCTCTCATGCCAGGGCCTCAGGGGGCATCAGAGGCCTTTGGGAGCCTCGCACAGCCCCAGGGTGTTTCTGGTGACGTCCATCAGTATTACCCGAGGAAAGGCCTCTCACCCCACTGACCACGGCAGTGAACCCGAGACTCCCCACCAGACTCCCTTAGCAGCAGATCCTTGCATTGTGCCCAGGGGCCAACTGCAAACATCACCTGTGCCCGGCACCTCTCCTGCTTCCCTCCACCGGCAGCCTGGGTGTCTCAGAGCCAGGCAGTGATGTAAATTAGCCTCACGGAGGCTGGAGATGCTCCCAGCCTCCCTTCCTCCCACTCCACTCGGTAGGTGAATCAGAGACAAACCCTTCTTACCCTGACTCTACTCAGCTTTCTTTAGCTTCATTGCAAAGGGGCTAAAAGTTGAATGAAAGACAAGAACAAGAGAGGAAAAAAAAAAAAAAAAAAACAGCCACCGCTCAGTAGAGCTGGTTTTGTTTGCGGTCTTTGTGTGATTGCGTGACACCCAGATGAAGACACGGGCCTGGAATTCAGCAGCGTGACTCCCTTGGTAAACCATTGTCAGAGCCCACGTTGTGCTGCTGTACCAGAATCGCTGAGACTGGGAAATTTATCACAAGTGGCTCCCAGTTCTGGATGCTGGGATGTCCACATCAAGTCGCTGCATCACTTTATGACAGCACAACCCCAGCTGTGAGGGTGGCGCCCTCATGGCCCAACCACCTCTTAAAGATTCCACTTCTTATCACTGCTGCAGTGACAATTAAATTTCAACATGGGCACTGGCGTTGTGGTGCAGTGGAGTAAGCTGCCGCCTGCAACACCGGCATCTCACAAGAGTGCCGGTTCGAGTCCCAGCTGCTCTACTTCCGACCCCGCTCCCTGCTAATGTGCCTGGGAAAGCAGCAGAGGATGGCCCAAGTCCTTGTGCCTCTGCCATCCACATGGGAGATCTGGATGAAGCTCTTGGCTTCTGGCTTTGGCCATGCCATTGCAGCCATTTGGGGATTGAAACAGCAGATGGAAAATCAATCTCTCTTTCACTCTCTGTCTCTCTCTGTCTCTGTCTCTCTCTGTCTTTCCCTCTCTGTAACTCTGTCTTTCAAATAAATTAAATGTTTTTTAAAAGTTTCAACATGGATTTTGGAGGGGACAAAACCTTCAAACTATGCTACTATACTGTGTCAAGTTTTGGCATGCCCTTCAGGATGTTTGTTGGGGGTGGGGGGTAGTTAGTTAAAGGTGTTGTCTCACTCCATTGACAGGTGTCCTGTAGCTGAAAAAGGTTTTCTCTTTCAAGATGAGTATTTTATTTTTAATTTAGCCCGTGGAAAGATAAGTCATTTTCCTTTGATGGGAAAGCTTGTTAGGTTCAGTTTTAGTCTCAGCAGTGTCTATAGCAACAATGTCTAGAGAGTAATTTTATTTCCCCAATTATTGTCATTTTAACTTAATTCCATTGGCAAAGCCAAGGCTGGTCTTCCTCTGTCACCTGGGAAAGGACTTCTGCATCACTGTCCTGGCAGTGACATTGGAGCTGGGATCTGGGATCATTACTTGTTCTCTTCCTCCCGGCAGACAAGTGGGCTCTTGTTAGAATGCAGATGAGAAATCTGCCTGTAGCTGCTGGGATCTGCAGGGCTAAGACACACAACATGCAGGGCCATTGTCAAGGCAAATCTAGCACAGAAAATGCAAGGCAGCGCTGCACACCTGTCCCAGCCTGAGCTCCCCTGTAGCGCAGCCCGAGGCGAAGGCTTATATGCTGCTCCCTGTTAAGGAAGCAGAGCAGGGAGAAGAGGGGGAGGCAGCAGTGGAGGCAGCATGGGTGTCAAGCACAGCTGACTGCCCCATCTCAAAGGCTTGCTGTCTGAGGGGTGCTGTTGACAGTGTCTCAGGGAAATCTGTCTACGGAGGAAATGGTAAGAGTGGATAGGTGTGGGGCGCAGGGCCCGTCTCCCATAACATGGCAGGGCCCATCACCCAGGAGACAAATAAGTACTAAGACTGTGGACAAATAAATACTGAGGACAAATACTGAGATTACCGAGACTAGACTAAACTACTGGAACTGCTAAGACTAACTCTATGCATCTGATCTCCCACCATATGGCGCAGAGAGGGAATAAACAACTTCCACACAGCTGCCTCACCAATTCGACTAACAAGCTGATCCTGCCCCTGATTGGAGGAGAGCAGCGTGCTCAGCACGTGGGGAGAGAACGCCAGCAGAGTTGGGATTGGTGGAAGAGGACTATAAAGGAGGAGAAAGACAACATGCAGGAGGAACATCTGAGGAACCCCTGAGAGAGCTGGCTGGTGGTGTGCTGCTCCTCTGGGGCGGGGGGGGGGGGGTAGCGGCAGCTAACCCGGGAAGGGCCGGGCAAAGAGAACAGCACAGGGTCTGGTGTCGTTCCTCCACGAGTGGGGGAGCGACAGGTAGGCAGGTTCCATTCTCATTGGTCAAAGCTTCGCTCCACAAGGCACCAATGCACCGCTCTTTTGGGTTGTGCTGGGTCCCCCAGCAGATCCTACCGCTGAGCTGTGGCTCCCATCAGTGGCGATGCTGCAGGTTGGAGGTGCGAGGAGGAGCAGAGAAGGGCCAGAGGCCAAGGCGCTGAGCAGATGTGCCTCTCTGTAAGTGGCCTGACTCCTCGGGAAAATGTTTGCTGGGGCAGATCAGGCAGTCAAAGGTCCCAGGGACGGGGGGGATGGAGAGGGTCTGAATGGTTTATGAGATGTATCTAGCACAACAACATGCCACAAGCTGGCTTTCTAGAACTTTCTTCCCTGCCTGTGTGGTGTGGTTGCCTCATTGCAAGGGTCCATCAGGCCTTCAGGAAGGCCTACCCTTGGTGTGAAACAGAAAGGTCAATTGGAACATGTTCTGAAAGGGAAGAGAATTGGTTTCATGGGGAGGCAGCCCACGTGGCCGTGCAGCAAGCAGGCCAGGGTCGCTCTCGCCCGCGCTCTGATGAGTTCCCGCGGTGCCAGTCACTTCCCGAGTGACACTGCAGTGTCCCCCAGAGGGCTTCACTCACTCTCAGTTACAAACATCGGCATTTTAACCCCAAAAGTCCAATCCCCTTTATTTGAGACTTTCGCCTTCAAATTCAACACATAGCTCCCCACACGGCTACTCCCTCCCCAAGCCCACGCTGGACTGGAGAGTGATGGGGACCCAGTCACCCGTCCCACCGCTCTCCTCCTTCCTTCCCATGCTCTGCCCTCTGGGGTGGAGTGAGACCAGAGAGCAGGAACCAGCACCGGCTGCATAAAGGCCTGCAGGACACACTAGGAACATTGGAAAGCTCATGGAGAAAGGACATTGTCAGTTATTTGGGTCAAAGAAAAAAAAAAGAAAAAAAAGATTGTGAGATCTATGCATATGAGGATTCTGAAAAGGTTTATAGAAAATATGTATTATAAAAAAACTAGGCATAGATTTCAATTTTTTTTTCAAAACAATCGCTTATTTGTTTATTTGAAAGGCAGAGTGACAGAGGGAGAAAGACACACAGAGAATGAAAGAGAGAGAGAGAGAATCTTCCATCCATTTGGTTCACTCCCCAAATGGCCACAACAGACAGTGCTGGGCCAGGCTGAAGCCAGGATCCAGGAACTCCACTGGGGTCTCCCACATGAGTGGCAGAGGCCCGAGGACTCTAACATGGGATACAGATGTTCTCCCTTCATTGTGACACCAAATGTGCACCTGTAAACTTATCCTTGTTCCATTTTTATGCAAACTTTTTGAAGTGCCCTTATCTGATCCCTTCCTTGGTTGGGCATAATTGCTTTTCTGTTTTCTCTGGTCTGGATATGGCCGGGTAACAGTCTCAACAGAGACTCCCTTCCAAACAGGTTCTCAAGAGGAATGATCCCATCTTCAGGACAACCCTCCCAGAAGCTGTACGTCTAAGCGGCAGTCCTCCCCTTCCTCATCACCTCTAGGATGCAGGAGTGTGCCTACGTAAGTGCAATCTGTCTTCTGTACCTCTGGGAATGGAAAATGGACAGGGATGTCCTTGCTCCCTCTGCCAGGTCACCTCTCTCCATCATCTCTCACAGGGTCCTTCTCAAGCTCCAAGCAGAAGTGAGGTGCCAGACTCCCCTCTGAGGACACACCCCACACCACCAGGTGTACAATGACGCTCTTTGGACTGGCTCTTCCCACTGGCCCTGGAGGCCACCACCCTTCCACCCAGGGAGGGTCAGAAGGTGAGACACACCTGCGTTTCCTACTGCTCTCCTACCTAAAAGAGCATCTCTCTGCCTCCCGATCCTGGGACGGGAGATGGGGCAGGAGGTTCTACTGCTTCCTGGCGCTCTGGGTGTCGCTGTCCACTGTGGCCAGCTGTTCTCCGGGGAAACAGTGGTTTTATTTTCGGCAGGGCAGTCATTATCAGTTCCAACCAATAGGAGAAAAAACTCCCACTTGGTCCCTCTCTTCCCCCTGTTACAGAAATAGCCCCAGTCACTGACTGTTTTTAAAAAGTGTCAGCAAGTCTGGTACCTTTGGGGAGTGATTCTTCAGCCTCTGTGAATTTTTGCCTGTTTTTCTAAAGGCTTTCCTGTGTGGGTGAGGGAGGTTTGCTGCTTGTTCCTTTGTTGTTCAGTTCACTGCCAGGCAGCCACCTCCCGGCCCTCACTGTTGGAGCATCGGCATCACATCCAGCTCTCGGGCAGCAGGACCAAAGATGGAAGGGCCCACTCTACCCCTTTTTAAGGGACTTTCTGGAAGGACCACATAACCCCTCTGCCGAGGTCAGAACCCAGTCCCCAGGGTCTGTTCAGCCATGATGGAGGCTGGGACAGTCTGCCATGCTGAGTTCCCTGCTTCCTCAAATAACAAGATGATGACACAGGCAACTGGAAGTCTCCACAGTGTCCCCAAAGCTGGTCCTTGGAGCTCATTCTCTTGTGTAGCTTATTGCACTAGGGACATTCTGCAAGTTGTCTTTCTTCTTTAAAAAGAAACAGCGGCAGGTGTTTTGTGCGGTGACTGAGACATGTGTTGAGTACCTGCATCCCACACCAGAGTAGCCGGCCTCAAGTGCCAGCTTCTGACTGATGCTAAGGTAGCAGCTCAGGGCTCAGGGGCCTGAGTCCCTGCCACCTCTCTGAAAGGCCAGGATTCAGTCCCTGGTCCCCACTGTGGCCTGGCTCAGTCCTGGATACTGTGGGCATTGAACAAGTGGATGAGAGCTCTCTGTTCTGTCTCTCTCTGTGTCTCTCTTTGCCTCTCAAATAATGCAAATAAATTTAAAATAGGGGAGGAAACTGGGAATATATACATTAAACATTTAAAATAATTTTTAAAGCAACAGATATGTGTAATAATGGAAAACAGACAAAAAGCAACCATACACACATAAAAAGCAAAGTCCCACCATCAGAAACGATCAGCGTGGTGTTCGTCCTACGCTTTTCTACGTGTGTGTGAGGATGCTTCCGAACGCTGATGGAGGAGCAGACTTTCGGTGCAGCAGTTGAGATACCACCTGTGATGCCCACGTCCTGTACGAGAGCGCCAGATTTCAGTCCCAACTCCCCTCCTGATTCCACCCTCCTGCTAGTGTGCACCCTGGGAGACAGCAGGTGACGGCTCAAGTACTTGAGTTCCTGCCATACAGGGGAGACCTGGATTGTATCCCCAGATTCTGACTTTGGGTTGGCCCAGTTCTGCCCGTTGAAGACATTTGGGAAGTGAACCAGTAGTTAGGAAATGTTTCCATCTCTCCCCCTCTCCCCCTCTCCCCCCCCTCTCCCCCTCTCCCTCCCCTCCCTCTCCCCCTCTCTCCCTCTCCCTCTCTCCCTCTCACCCTCTCTCTCTCCTTCTCCCTCTCACCCTCTCTCTCTCCCTCTCCCCCTCTCCCCTCTCCCCTCTTCCCCTTCTCCCCCTCTCCTCCCTCCCTCTCCCCCTCTTCCCCTTCTCCCCCTCTCCCCCTCTCCCCTTCTCCCCCTCTCCCCCTCTCCCTCTCCCCCTCTCCCCCTCTCTATCTCCCCTCTCCCCCTCTCCCCTCTCCCCCTCTCCCCCTCTCCCCCTCTCCCCTTCTCCCCCTCTCCCCCTCTCTCCCTCTCCCCTTCTCCGTCTCTCCCTCTCTCTTTCTCCTGACCCGGCTTTCTGCCAGTGCAGACCCTGGGAGGCAGTGGGTTCCTTGCCTCTTCTTGGAAGGTCTACATTGTGCTCCCAGCTCTGGCTTCAGCATCGTGATGCCCACCCGAGCTGCTGTAGGTGTTTGAGGAGTGAAATAACAGATGTGCACTATCTTGCTTACTCTCTGTCTCTCAAATGCACTTTTGAAAAACTAAATCAATTACCTAATTAATTTAAAAGGCAGCAGAGGTGAGGCAAAAAAATGCTAAACAAATGGATTAAGTATAGCAAAACTTCCCTCATGGTCTGCTGAAATGAGTAACAAATGAAAAATCAATGATTGAAAAGCATTCCTTTTTTGACCAGAATTTTCTTGCTGGCCAATTTATGTTTGACCAAATTGCTTTCAGCAGAATCAGCTGGAGACGGTTTTTTGTCTAAGATTTATTTATTTATTTATTTATTTATTTATTTATTTGAAAGGCAGAGTCACAGGGTGGGGAAGGGGGGACACAGAGAGCGAGATCCTCCGTCCACTGGTTCACTCCCCAAATGCTGCAACAGCTGGAGCTGGGCCGATCCGAAGCCAGGAGCCAGGAGCTTCTTTCAGGTCTCTTACATAGATGCAGGGGCCCAAGCACTTGGGCCATCTTCCACTGCTTTCCCAGGCCATTAGCTGAGAGCTGGATCAGAAGAGGAGCAGTCGGGACTTGAACCAGTGGCCCTACAGGATGCCGGCACCCCAGTCATCAGCTTTACCCACTGTGCCACAGCGCCACCTCCCTGGAGATGATTAAAAAATAAACCACTCCTGGAAGGTATTTAGGGAGCCAATCTTAACCTGTGTCGTTTTACCTAGGGTCAAGCTGGAAGCGTGTGCTACTGCCCTCCCAATCAGAAGACAGAATGTACCCACTCAGGACCCATCTTTCTATTTCCCCATCACTTGGGCTTTGCTCAAACAAGACTCACTCTAAACATTTAGAGCACCTCTTCAGAATATTTGGAGATTTTCTAAGGTTCCTTAGATGCAGGGTACTTCAAGAAGTTTGTGGAAAACAGAAAGAAAAGGAGCCAGCACTGTGGCACAGCAGGTTAACACCCCGGTCTGAAGCACTGGCATCCCATATGGGCACCAGTTCGAGTCCTGACTGCTCCATTTCCAATCCAGCTCTCTGCTATGGCCTGGGAAAGCAGTAGAAGATGGCCCAAGTCCTTGGGCCCCTGCACCCGCATGGGAGACCCGGAAGAAGCTCCTGGCTCCTGGCTTCAGATCGGTGCAGCTCCGACCGTTGTGGCCATCTGGAGAGTGAACCATCGGATGGAAGACTCTCTCTCTTCCTCTCCTCTCTCTGTGTAACTCTGACTTTCAAACAAATAAATAAATCTTAAAAAAAAAAAAAAAAGAGGATGCCTCCGGGGTGAGTAGGTCAACACCAGCATCTCGTGTCAGAGAGATGCTTCCAGTCTAACTCCTTGCTAATGCACCTGGGAAAGCAGTGGAAGATGATCCAAGTGCTTGGGCCCCTGCCACCCACGTAGAGACTCAGCTGGAGTTCCGTGACTCTGGCTTTGACCTGGCATAGCCCTAGCCATTGTGGTCGTTTAGGGAGTGAAACAGTAGATGGAAGATTCTCTCTTTCTCTCTCCCTCTCTGTCAGATAAATAAATCTTACAAAGAATAGAACACCTGGCGGCGCCGCGGTTCACTAGGCTAATCCTCCGCCTTGCGGCGCCGGCACACCGGGTTCTAGTCCCGGTCGGGGCGCCGGATTCTGTCCCAGTTGCCCCTCTTCCAGGCCAGCTCTCTGCTGTGGCCCGGGAGTGCAGTGGAGGATGGCCCAAGTGCTTGGGCCCTGCACCCCATGGGAGACCAGGAGAAGCACCTGGCTCCTGCCATCGGATCAGCTCAGTGTGCCGGCCGCAGCGCGCCAGCCGCGGCGGCCATTGGAGGGTGAACCAACGGCAAAGGAAGACCTTTCTCTCTCTGTCTCTCTCTCTCTCACTGTCCACTCTGCCTGTCTAAATAAATAAATAATAAATAAAAAACAAACAAAGAATAGAACGCCCAGCACCCACCCAGTCCTGAGTCATTAGGAACGAGGAAGCTTGCAGCATTCGCTCCATTTGATTTCCACGCTGGAAAGAGAGAGTGAAGTGCTGTTTTCCCTCAGCTTTTCTTAGGATTTCCAGAAGGAAAATTCAATGTGACCTCTCTGGTTCACATCCATCAAGTCATTTCTCCAAGGATCTCTTGCCTGGAAAAGCACTAAAAAAAGTATCTTATGGCAACAGTCTGGCTCCTTTGTCCCAGCCTCGTTCTCCTTAACTCCAGCCCCAGGACCTCTCTGAGAGGAAGCAGAAGTCAGAACTGGGGCTGGAAGGGCCAACCTGGGTCCTATCCATCGAGTGGGTGCAGTTGCGTTCAGGGAGGACAGCCAAGTCCAGCCTGGCCAGCCTCTCTCTGCAGGTGCCCCCAGCGATGCCTTTCTGCAGAACAGCTGTGTAGACTTGCACACATCCTTGTAAGCATCAACATTATTGCTTTTATTTTAGTCATTGGAGATGGAAATCTTTTTTCAAAATATATTTCATACTTTTTGGCATTTTATTTTTTAAAAAGATTTATTTATTTACTTGAAAGTCAGTTACACAGAGAGAGAAGGAGAGGCAGAGAGTGAGAGAGAGAGGTCTTCCATCCGCTGGTTCACTCCCCAGATGGCCGCAACAGCTGAAGCCTAGCCAATCTGAAGCCAGAAGCTTCCTCCAGGTCTTCCACACGAGTGCAGGGCCCAAAGACTTGAGCCATCTTCTACTGCTTTCCCAGGCCATAACAGAGAGCTGGATCAGAAGTGGAGCAGGTGGGTCTCAAAGTGGCACCCATATGGGATGCCAGCGCTGCAGGTGGCGCTTTTACCCACTATGCCACAGCACCGGCCCCATTTTTGACATTTCAAACAGAATATATGGGTATAA